ATTTATGGCAAAAGAAACCACAAAAACTTCATAAACACATGGAAATTAAATAACACCCTCCTGAACAACCAATGGGTCACAGATGAAATTAAAGAAAAAATCAGACAGTTTCTACAATTAAGTGATAATACTGATACAACACATGAACTTATGAGACAGAAATGAAAGCAGTCCTACAAAGGAAAAAGAATAAGTCAGGCCCAAAGCTCATATGAGGGAGGAAATTATAAAGCTCAGAACAGAAATTAATGCAGTTGAGGGCTGAGGATGTAGCTCAGGGGTGCTATGCCTTCCTGGCAAGCGCAAGGTCCTGAGCACAACCCTTGTTACTGGAAAAAAAAAGAAATTAATGCAATTGAGACTAAGAAAACAATCCAAAGAATCAGTGAATCAGGGTTGGTTCTTTGAAAGACTAAACAAAATTAATAAACCCTTAGCCAACCTTAGCTGCTTTGGTAGAAATTCATCTGTATCTGGAAAAAACAAGGGGAGAGGCCCTCCCTGTCCACTTCCCTCAGCAATCGCCTGGAGAATGATGTTTTATGTCCAGTGGCTGAAGAACAGGATTCAGAAGAGAGGACAGTGCCTGTTTCCTTCCTGTGGTCAGCAAGCCCTGCTTGATGCCTGGTTTTCTGGATAAAGTCTGGGGTCTGAGACCACCGTCACCTCCACAAGTATGCTAGGCAACTCTGAGTCTTATCTCTATGAGACTTCTATGGCGTCCACGGAATTGCTCTCAAGCCTGGGTGACTTGCATGCAAAAGAGAACAGATGAGACGCTCAGACCACATGGAAATGGACTGAGGAGGCCATGGTGCAATGGTGGCCATGGAGAAGTGGAGGGAACCATTCACTTGAGTGTGTTTTTCTGCAGATTCTCCTGCACCACCCTTGATGAGGCCAGGACGTCAGGTTTGGAAAGGAAACATCTGAGGTGGAAGTAGGAGGGTGAGGACAGGGATGTGAAAGGATGCTGAAAGGAGAGAGATTTGAAAGCTCTGTTGGGCTGGACAGCATCCTGTTGGCCTCTGGATTTTCCTATCTAGGTGAAGCAGGTGTCCCAGCAGGTAGATTCTCAAGGAACCCTCTCCTCGGACTGTGGCCACACCTTCTGAAGCCCCAGGGCTCCAGTGAGAAGGAGCAGGTACATGGCAGGGTGTCTCCTCCAACCCCAGGAGGCGCAGCAAGAACACCCCTCAGCAGCTGTCCCTTCTCCAGGGTTCAGTGTAGCTGCGGTGTCCTGAGGGCTTGCTGTGTGCAAGCTGGTGAAGGAGTTCTGGCTCTTCCTCAGGATTCATAGGCTGGATCCAAGGCCAAACTAGCGAGAAGAAGCTCGCATTCAAAGGAAACCTAAAGATGATGGGGATCTGGTGCCTTCTTGGCATCTCCTCTTTTTTTGTCCAGGCTGCAGGGAGAAGGAAGATTGAGACGTCCAGTGGGGGGAGCGCCGCGCGGGTGACCTGCTCAGCCTGGGCCAGCCCGGAGGAGAGCGCTGCAAGACGCCTGCATGGGGAGGGACACGGGTGGCCCCACCTCTGGAAAGTGGGCAAGGAGAACTGGAGAGAGCCGGCCAGTGAGACCCAGGAGAGTGGGGTCGCTGTGATCCTCGGGCAGGAAGTCACAGGGCAGCCTGGGACAAGCTCTTGGCCCCAGGCTGCAGGGGCGGGAGCTCAGAGAGCTCTCTTCCCACCCCCAAGTCCGAGGACTTCCTCTCCCTCGCCTGGGGGCATTTGTGAGCCAGCCAGGTTCACCAAGGAAAGGTCACCCTGTGCTGTGCCCACCAGAGAGCAGGAAAAACCAGAGGCGGGAGGACCAGGACAGAAATAGGAAGCCAAGCCCCTCCCAGGCCCGGGCTGTGCCGGCAAACGGTCGGGTGGCAGCCCTGATTTGTGGTCTGCTGATCTGTGCGGTGAAGATGATCCCACCACAGCCAGGGGCGGGCGAGCCGCCAACAGGGCACCACCGCACGTGGGCCTGGAGAAGCACAGCAGCGCACGCGCACCACCCAGACACGTGGGGGCCCATGGGCGCCAAAGGGCGAGATCCTGCCCTCCGCCACCGTGGTGACAGGACTGACGGATGTGAGGTAAAGTGCAGTGAGCCGCACACAAAGCCAGCTGCTGTGTGACCCTGTAGGTGTGGAATCTGAAAGAGCTGATCTTAGAGGAATGGAGCCGGGAAGGCAGGGCTGGTCAACAGCACCAAGCTGCAGTGAGAGGGAGAGAAGCCCCTAGTGCCCAGCAGCACAGCCAGGTGACCACAGATCCCGGCCCAGGCACCCCAGCAGGCAGGGCAGGAGGCAAAAGGCCGGCTGAGGTGATGGCCCAGGCTCATCGCAGCACGGGCACTGCATGGGGCCAGCCCCGCCCCTGTGCCCTTGCAGCTGCAGGCAGTGCCCAGCCCAGGGCCGTTCCCAAGGCAGAGAGGCACCAGAGTCCCAGGAAACCCAGTTGGCAGCCATCTTTCTCTGCCTCCAGGAGTCCCTGGTGACACCGACGGATGCAAAGACGCACTGAAGAAACAGAGCCAGGGGCTTCCTGGTTTCCGGTGTGCATCGTCGACTTCTAGACAAGCCTCCTCAGGCCTTGGCCGCAGACTCAGAGCTCTGCCCCGGCCTTCCAAGCTGCCTTTCCCTTCCCCGTCCTCCCACAGCAGGCTGGGCTTGCCCCTGCCCTGCAGCTTGCTAAGCTCCCAGCCTTTCAGAGGTGGTTTGCTGCAGAGGCTCGCAGGGAAACAGGAAGTAGCTGGCGGGCTCACGGTCATGGGAAGCCATGCAGCTGAGGAGGCCTGCAGGGTCCTCTGCGCCTGCTGCCTGGGCCCCTGACACCCACACCTCGGAACCCCATGTGAGGAGGGGGCGCCCCTGACATGGGCATGCTTGTGTGGCCAGGCAAGGGCAGGCTGGCTCCTGCTGCAGGCTCTCTGGCATCTGCAGCAGTGGCCCCAGGGACACGAGGCCAGCAGGCTTGAACACGGCCAACTGGGAGAGCCCCAAGCCCTCCACTGTCAGATGAGTAAAGGTTTGTTTTTCCCCTGACCAGAGCTTCCGCTGCTGGTGTGGCGCTCTAATCGCAAGGCGGTTATTCATCATTCTGGACTGGTGGGGACTTTCGCCGGGCTTACCCAGAGCCAGCAGGCTGGGGCTCGGGCACCCACCCAGGCCAGCAGTGAAGGATCACTGGGAGCACATTCAGGATGGGTACTCAGCAGTACCTTGGGTCCTGCCCTTCATAATGGGCCATGTGCTCTCCCTGACCTCCTGCTGATGGGCCAGGGGGAGGCTGGGGAGCAGACTTGGGGCCTGCCAGGTCTCAGCCATCACCTGCCACAGCTGCTCGGGGCCTGCAACCCTGAGCATGGCAAATGCTGGGCGACATGTGGAACTCAAGGACCACACTGTGGGAAGGACAGAGCGTGTCTGGAAAGGGCCCCACCATTCCCATCCAGTCTTCAGGAGGTGCCTTTCCTCCTCCAATGAACCCCAACAAAAACCTTGTCCCGAGTGCTGGGATCCACCAAGTTCTCCATCAAACTCTGGTCGCACAAATCCCTGTGGCTGGGTTTTCCTTAGGCTTTTCCAAGGGGACTTTCCTCATCCTATGGGGCAGGTGAAAATTGGGGCAGAAGAAATATTCTCGGATCAGAAGCAAGCAGCCGTGAAGGTCTCCCTGCTTCCCACCACAGGGGCTGGGTGTCTCTGAGCAGAGCAGTGGGCACTGAGTCCACCGCAAATCTGCCTTTCGTGGACAGCACAAGCCTCTCCCCTCCGCGCCCCGCCCACTCTGGGGAAGAGGTGGAAAGGTCCTCCCCCTTTGGTGAGCGTCACCCGCGCCTTCCTCCAGCTGCAAGGAGCTGCAGGTCTGGGGGGGCGGGGGGGGGCGGCAGGCAGGCCCGGAGAAGCGCCCGGAACCAAGCGGCTGCTCGGACCAGGATCAGCTCATCCACGTCAACGCCACTCACAGAGAACAGCGCGCACGCTGCTACTTCTCCCCTTTCTTCAAAAGTAGAAAAGATACATGTTCTATCTCAACTCAAACATTTTTCAAGTTTAATGTTGGATATGATGATAAATGTCAGAAAAACCCCTGAGGAGGCATCGCCATGACTTACGAACGTGGTGGAAACGGCTCGCAGAGCTGTGCCGCGCTCACTTTGAGGCAGCAGGCGTAGTGATGTGGTGGCAGCTGCCGCGGTGAGCAAGCCTTGCAAGGTCACCCAGGGGATGTGGCCGCGGGTGACTACAGCGTGGAGCCGCAGGGGCTGCACGTCTGTTCTTCCTTTTCTTTCATTTGATCACCAAAGCTCCCAACAAGTATCCCTGACAGAGGAGCAGTCATGCTGCGAGGCACCTTGGAGGCCGGAGGCTGTGTCTGGGCTGGGCTCCTGCCGGGCTCCGCGCCACCGCCACCGGGGCTCTAGGGACCCACCTGCAGCTTTCCTTCCCACAAAGGCGCTCCTTGGAACTTGAGAAGTTTCCTTAACAGAAAGCTTCTCAGCTGTGCCGCGCTACTTTCAGTAGCACAGAGACCACTGCTGAGTAAAAGGGTGGGGAAGAATGGGGACTGCCCGGAGCCAGAGCTCAAGCGCGACCTCCCTCATTCCCGGCTGCTCAGAACTCCCGTTCCCTTGGTGGATTCCAGGCTCGGAAGGCGCTGTGCCGGGTACTATGGAGACGGGAGTTTCGGGTCTGACGGGTAGGGAGTCCCGAGGGCGCACCAGTGAGCTCTTTATTTGAGCTGTTATCTATTTTAAATGGGTGAAAATTTATTTCAGGCGTATGAAACGTACGGCTTCTAGAAACCTTTACGGCTCAGCATGACACTAAAGTAGATATTTAAATTTAAAAAGTGAGTCAACCTAAAGGTCTCGAGAACATAATAATCCTTTTAAAAGTTTCTTAAGAAATATGTCAAATAGGTAATATTTATTTAAATAATAAAGTAAGCAAACTGATTTAACTTATTAAATATTTGTCATACATTTAAATTGCATAATATTAAAATAAATAATCATACACAAAAACTGTGAAGGCAGCGTATGTATAATTAAAACTTAGAGGCCACTAAGATGTGGCACTGTGCCCACTCTCGAAGGAGTTTATAGAAATAGCAGGTGCCATTCACACGGGACCTGGGTGCCAGGCTCAGCACGCCCTGCGCCTCCTGACAACAGCCCCGTGCAGAAGACCCCCATGCTGCAGGAGAAACTAAGAGGGACCACAGGGCAGGACCAGCCGGGATCAAATCCCCTCCCCGACACTTGCTGCCATGCGACCTTCACAGGGCCCACTGCCCATCTGTAAGGTGGGAAGTGCAGTCTCCAGGATTACTTGAAGGATTACACAGATAAGATTGATATTTTTAAAAATGTATTCATTCCACAAACATCTATTGAGGACTCACCACGTTCCTGACTCTGGTCACGAGATCAACTGTCACACGTCAAAGCCCGCAGCACCCAAAAAAATGTTCATTCAGAGCGAACCTCATTGAGAGTTAACCAGACCCCAGCAGCCATCCAGATCCTGGGTTCCCCTCTCCTGGTCTCCCTGGGGAGCCATCTCGGTCTCTGCTTCCAGGCTCTGCCCCATCTGGAGGACTGGCTCCCCTTAGGGATGCCGCTGAGTTCACCTCTTTTCAGAGCAGCAAGGTGTCTTGGGAAGCCCAGGTTTGTTGCCAAGGCTGCTCTCCAGCAGCGGACTGGAGAGCACTGTGCCTCATCTCCTTCCCATCCAGCAGTGACAGAGGGGAAGACAGGGTGACATCAGAAATAAGAGCTAAAGCAGAAAGACCAGGCTTAAAGTTTCGGCTTTCCCTCCTAGTAGTTGCTCAACATTAGGCTGATAACTTTCTGTTTCTACACCTCAGATTCTTCACTTTGAAGTAGAAAATGGAGACACTTCCTTCTTGGAGATTCCTTTCCCATAGCATCTGTCTCAACCCTTACTCCCCTTTGGCACAGGTCCAGGCCATGGAGTGGCCCTGGGGGCTTCTGGGAGAAAGGGACAGGGTGGGGCATCAGTAGATATCGAGTGGATGCACAGTGGTACCTTGGTTCACCAACTTGATTTTTTCCACAATTCTGGTCACAAACCAAGTTGGACAAGAACCAAATCAAATTCAGTGGCTAGGTTCCATGTTGACCTCACAGGGAAATTTGATTCAGTTTTCATCCAGTTCAGTTTGCAATCTGAATCGTAGAGAGAATTGAGTTTGTGAACCGAGGTACTGCTGTATCTTTTAGAACAGTCAGTGGTCTTCAGAAAATCATAAATTGCTGAGGATGTGGAGAAATTGGAGTCCTATGTACTGCTGGGAAGGCACAATTGTGCCCTCACCATGGAAGACGGTACGGTGAGTGCTTAAAAAGTGAACTGTAGAGTTACCACATGATCTTGCAATTCCCACTTCTAGATATGTGATCAAATAAACTGAAAGAGTCTCAATGGCCCTTTGTCTCCCCGTATACATGATGGCTTCAGTCACAAGAGCTAAACCATGGAAGCGACTCAGATCATCCGGGAAGAGTGCATAAACCAAATGAGGTCTTTCATACCATTGAATACTATTCAGCCTTAGAAAGAAAGGAAACTCTAACATGCACAACATAGATGACCCTTGAGGACTTATGCTATGAGAAATAAGCCACTCACAACAGGACAACATAGTGCACAATTCCACTTACATGAATTATTTGGAGTAGCCAAATGGATTTGAACTAAAAGAGAGAGGTGTCAGGGCCTGGGTGAGGGACACGAAGAGCTGACGTTTAATGAGTGTGGAGCTCCAGTCTGGGAAGATGAAAAAGTTCTGGAGGGTACTTTATGCCCTGAAACGTGCCTTTAAAAGTGGTTAAGATGGTAAATTTTATATTATGTATATTTTCCACAGAAAAGAATCAATGTTTTCGTCCTTCCTGTCTCCAAGAAACTCCAAGTGTTGATATTAGCATAGGAAATAGTAGGGCTGGAGCAGAGTGGGCCAGGGGTGGATGGATGGGGGGTGAGGCAGGAGTAGGAGGAAAGGCAGCGGCCACGGAAGGTCCCACGTGGGAGTGGCCATAGCTAGAAAAGCCGGGGAAGGTTCGTGTGCAGTGTCAGAGCTCAGAGGGCACAGGCCATCCTGCGGAAAAGGCGGCAACAGGGAGAGGGAACAGCATGGCAACGAAGTGAACCTGGACACCGGCCAGGGGGACCGGGGCTGCCTGAGGCCTGCACCCTCTGGGCCTGTACCAACTGTCACAGGAGTGGGGGCCCGGACCCCTGGGGACCCCGCACAGCAGCCTGAGAAAGAGGAAAACCACCAGAAAATATTAAAAGGGACGTACCAGCTTCGAAAGGTTACATTTGTCCTTCTTCCTCCATTCTAGTAACAAAATCTGTGGTCATTGGAGAAATTTAAAAAATCACAAACAGTAAAAAAAAATACACAAGAAAATTAAAAATCCCCATGTAGCCTCACCCCTCAGGGATAAAATTTATACTGCTGACTGGTCTTTTTAAACTACTTTAGGTACAAATTCCATATCATTTTAAAAAACATATATCACATTGTTTTAAAAGCTTTTTCATGTAACAAATTAACAACCATTTCCCCCGTGCCATAAAATCATGTAATACACAGTTTTAAAATAGTCTACAACAGTTCATCCTAGAGATGGACCATCACTTAGCCAGAACCCCAACGGAAATAGACACAAAAGACCTATTAAAGTTCACCAATTCCATTCTTACTGAGTGTCTCTTCTGGGCCAAACTGTCGCTGTCCTAGGTGTATAATGCCAAATCCAGTTTAGAGTAGGGAGGAAAAATTAATACGCAAGCAGTTACAACCAGAGTTACAGACACAGTAGGTACACATCTTAGTCCATACCTGCTATGATTTGTGTCCCCAAAGGCCCATATGTTTAAAGACTTGGTCCCTAGGCTGTGGTACCATTGGGAGGTGGTGGTAGCTTTAAGAGGTGGGGCTTCGTGGGAGGAAGTGAGGCTATTGGGGGTGTGTCCTGAAGATATTGTGGGATCCTGCCCCACCTCTCTCTGCCCAGCCTCCTCCACCACATGTCTGGTCATGTTGTGCTTGCTGGCCACAGGCCCAAAGCATAGGCCAGTCAGTCAGCCATGGAAACCTCTGAAACACCGAGGTTTGTCTCAGCTCTTTTGTCACAGCAACAGAAAGCTGGCTAATAGCTGAAGCTTTCAAGAAATATAATTCGTATTATCTTTAGCAATATCATTTTTATTCTAAGCTCTTACTCTCCTAGGGTGGTAGAAACTCAAGTTCAGTTCACTTTGGACACCTCCCCTTCCCTTGAGTTGAGACTCAGCTTGGCTCAGCTCCATAGTGCTGGGGGTGTGTGTGGAAGCATGTGTGTGTTTGTGTGTGCGCATGCTGGTCCGTGGGGAGGGTGGCCCACTCCCCCACGTCTGTTCACACCCATCCTGGGGCACCCATCCCTGCTTACAGTCATCAGTCCATAAGGCAGCCATGGGGTCACCCTCCAGTCCCGTGCTCCGCCCCTGCATAACTGGAGCTTTCAGCACCACTGTCACCCAAGCCTCTTCCAGGATCCAGAAGATGATTCTCCTTTTAAGGGGCTGCTGGAGTCTGAGTACTCATTTCTTCTGGGGCTCACTTCTCATCCCACTTCTGAGCATCTTTCTCTAGCCTGGGGTAGGAGGCCAGGAGGGCTGAAAGGCTTTACCTTTCTCAAATTCCCTGCTGGTTTTACACCTGGGTCCCAAAGGCTCAGCTGTGTGCGGAGGGAAGAGAGTGGGGAAACTGTCTCAATGCCTCACTCAGAAATGTCATCCCTCACAGAACCGAGCAGAGGGTAACAAGAGCAGAGAGGAAATGCTTCCAGGAGAGGGCTCCCACCTCAAAGCTCCTGGGGAGTGGGTGGCTTGCAGAGGAAGATGCCCAGGGAGGGGAGCAGGGCCTTTGAGGACTTTCTGAGTAGAGCCATTTGCCTACTCCTGGTCAGGTTGGGGACAGCAAGGACCACTGAGGAGCCCTGGATGTTCTCAAGCAACCTACAGTCCCTAAATGGACATTGACTCAGAAGGTACCCATCTGCCTAGGTTAATTTACGTACAGCCCATCCTAGAAAAAGTGAGATATCACAACCGACCCTATAGGTCTTTCTGAAGAGATAATATACCATTCACTATTTTTCCTGCACAGATGAGTATTGCTGGACACTAATGTGTGTACTTGTCTTTGTTAACTGCTGCTTTTAGCAGAGTGAATCCAAAACAGTCACACTTGCTCTGTAAAGAAAGGTTCAACTTCCTGGTGCCCGAAGGAGGTGTAAAATGATTTAAGGGCAAGCCCAGTGACTCAAAATGTCTTTGAAACACTCATTTAGATACAAGCAGTTGATAGATTATTTGAAAAAACAATCTTGCCTATGTATACTGACTTGAGCTATCCATGTGTGGAGCAAAGAGAGCCCTGAGAAGCAGTGTGATCATTGTGCTTTTCCATTTTTCTATTTGCTTATCACTTAGCCAATTCAACAATCATTCTAATATGTTGGGGGTCCCAGACCCAACCTGTGACTTTTCTGACAGCTCCCTGGAGCCTTCAGCTGAAGGATTTAGACACCCAGGCTGCAGCCCTGCACGCTGACAGTCTTCTGTGAGACTGAAAGTCGATGGGTCCAGGAAGGACCATGCCATGTAAGTAACACAGCAACACAGGTGGGAAAGGGACTCAGCTGGCCGCTCAGAGGGAGAATTTGGAGCTGAGGCCAGCAGTAGACTTAGGAACCCCCAGGGATTATATCTTCATGCTGCAACTTCTAGCCACAGTTTTAGATCACAATGCTGGTTAGCCTATGGCCCTTCCCCCTTCAGCAACAACAAGATCAGATGAGCTTTGAATATAAAAGGAGATATTACAAACAACTTCCCGGGAGCTACTAGAACTTTTAGAACAGAAGTACAAAAAGCAGTCAGGTTCCAAGGGAATGAAGATGATGAATAACTCTTTCCAGATGTATTGACATCTGGAAGATGTGTCCTTTCTGAGAATTGCCCAAAGCTAGCACATTTGCAGTTTTCTTTTCTTTTTCTTTTCTTTTCTTTTTTTTTAAAACAAGCTGAGCAAGTTGAGATCTGATTTCAGGGACACTCAACAACCAGGAAGGAAGTAGACTGCCAAAGCAGCCTCACTGAGAAAGCCGAACAGAAGGAGGAAGTAAGTAAAAAGCTGTCAAGAGGAGTGTTCAGTAACGCACAAACTCCATGACAATGTTTTTTAAAAGTCTTTATTTATCAGCTAACTAAAAACATTGTATTATCACATCAGTGTGTTCTGAAAATGAAATCTACATCAAAATCCATGACAGGTATGAAGAATGTTCACAGAATGTTCTGCAAGGTCTCAACAACACGGCAGGACCCTCAAAACACTGAGTCAGCCAGGGTCCTACCCACCAGCAGTTCTCTCAACATAGGGGGCACAGGGCAGGGGAAGAGGGAGAAGTGGATCCCATTACCTGTAAGGTCCCTTTCACCTCAAAGAATCTGAAGCAAAAAGGAGTGTCCACTGGAGGACTGACCTGTTGGTCTTTCTCTTCTTTTCTCCACCACATCTCTCCTCTCTTCCACTTCAACTATAATTTATGGGCATGTTCCTCAAAGCAGTGAAAATAAACACCAGGGGAATTGACCTTCGCTGCATTCCTGCGTCACGGTGGTCAGCAACAGATACCAAAGGATGGGTGAGACCCAGCCGCAAGCTCAGTCTCATGGACATGGTCCTCCTGTGCTTGAGTGATGACTATACCATTAGTGCTGCTCATGCCTTTGCACTTTACATTCCTTCTCTCAATGCAGCAAACTCTCTCGCTCGAACTCCGCTGAGCAGCTGGATTCCCTTCAGGGTGTCCGCTCTGTTCTGCTCAGGGTGGGGAGTTACAAGGTTTCAGCTCTAAACAAATTGGTCACCTGGTCTCTGTAATGGTCCAGATGACGTTAGTTACTGCCCAGAGTTTCACTAGACATATGAAATCCCAAGAACAGCGAAAAACCAAGCCCATGTATCTGTGAGACTTGTACAATCCCTCCTCTGTGATTCAGAGCTTTTTAGCCATAACAAGTACTCAAATCTTCGACAGCATCTTCCATTTAATACAAACTAAATTCTAGTGTGCACATCACATGAGACGACAAATGAGGAAACTATTCCTTTTCAAACTCCGGAGACCACTGTCAGGATTCTTCACCTGACCTTTCGTTGTTCACCTCCTATTCATCCCTCAAGATTAAAAAAGTCCACATATGTCAGTATGACAGTGCGATCAGAGATCATAGCCCAAACCAACAGGCATTTTTCAGAAAAAGAGGATTAACTGTAAAAGCAGCAAATATTTTTTAAAAATTCACACACACAGCATTAAAAATCAGGCATCACTTGGAAAATGAAGACTACAGGGTCTGGAAGGGACAGGTCCTGAGGAGACTGGTAAAACGCTGGCACTAGATTAAATGCTCTCAGGGGAGCAAGGAAGGGACGGGGGCCCTGGGAATCAGCAGTTCCCGATTTTATCTTCACCTTCCCGTAGGATAATATACCCCCGATACTCTGCATCTATAAGATGTATAAATCACGGCATTCACGGGACACGTTGGTTCCCCGAGGCACCCACGCTGCATGGTGGATGAGCCAAGTCACCCCTCCTGGGTGCAGGCCTCTAGAAGGGTGAGGTAAGTGTGTGCCTGCAGGCAAAGCTAAAGTCTTCTTGCGGACACTTCTGGCGGGGGGGGATTTGTGTTGGAGAAAAACAGCTGCCTTTTATTTCTTCCTCTTCTAGACTGCTTTCATTTACTATAGCCAATATAGTCAATATGCAATATTTTAGTTTTTTTAAATCCTTTTTTAAAAATAAAAGAATTGACATTCCAGGGCTTCATTGCATTCTATACTTGATAAAGGCTGTAACTTGTGTAATGCGAGGGATACAACCGGCATTTACTAAGTGCTTGCTGAATGAATTACAGAATAAAGCTTAGTATAAGAAAGCCACATACTTTGGAACTATTGACTCTTTTGCTGAGCCTGGAAGTAATGCCAGCTATTTTGTAGTAGGAGAAAAAATCCTGGAGGGCAGCACCCCTGTCTACCCAAGACACGAAGGGAAGCAGTCTGGTGAATCCAGGCAATTGGGAATTGGTGGGATTCTGTTCAAAAATAGATTTGGCAAAAGCCCAGTAATTTTAAGGCCCTGCCAAACTATTATTGGCATGAGGAAGCATCTAATATACAAAATAAGCAGAAACAGCCCCTGAGTGTGCAGTTACACAACTAGCAGAAGCCTGCCTGGGTCTTCGGATGGGCTCACAACCTGAGCCCCAGCTCCGCCTCTCAGTGTTGTCATGGATACTACCAATACCCCAACATAACAAACAGAAGAGGGGAAATGTCACCACGCTTTAAAAATACATCTTTAGTACTGGGTCTGTTGATTTTTTTCCTTCTTCTTCTTTAAGAAAAAAGTCTTAGTAATAATTTCTAGAGAATGAGAAACAAGAACCAAATGAATTATTCCTATGTGGAAGTAGGCCTAAGGTTTTTTGGCTGAAGGAAATGGCAACAGAGTTCACCAACTAGCTTCCAGGGCAGGCCAAGGAGAGGAAATGGGGTGCAAGGGTGGACTCTGCAGAGACCCGGCCGGGGCAGGTGATTCGGCTTCTATCCCTCAGCAATATTTCCACGCGAACTGTGGCTCCTAAAACATGAATACAGTTCTTTTGGATGTGCAGTGTGGTCTGCAATTTGGACTTTGTTTCCCTGAGAAATGATACAATACTGAAGTTTTTGCCAAAACACAAGCTTTCTCAGTCTTCAAAAGAGAACCATATTCCAGCTTCTATTTTAGAGAATGAAGAAATGCTTGGTGAGATTCATGGTATGAAAGGTGGCAGTCAGCGGAGCAGCGGAGCTGTCTGCCCATCAGACCTGAAGACTACAGTTCCTTCTGAAATAAGCTCATCTTCCTGTCAGAGGCAGCTGATTTTCTACACCCATCCTTGCTGTGAGCTGCAATTTTCCTCAGCTCTGGAGGTAAGAGAGAGGGCAGTCCCTCGGCTGTCCTTGTCAAAGCCAAATACTTACAATTAAAGAAGTCATTTGTCTGGATGGTTTTCACTCTGGAATGGAGGAATGTCGGATGGATCTGTGGTAGTCCTCGGGGCTGCTGATGTGCTCTGGTAAATCGTAACCCCGCAGGAAATGTCCACTGTTTTGTTGAGCAAAATAATACAGTTGTCTGGCTAGAAGGGGTTCCACCTTTAACAAGACATTAAAAATGTTATTGAGGTCTTCTTTTTAACATTGTGTAATTAGCTTATCATGAAATAACTCTCAAATTCTAAGGGTTAAATTCTAAATAAAGTTCAAAATTATATTCTATAACACACCAAGACATTTCATATTTAAAGTCATCTGAAGCGCCACTTTTTTATTACTCCTGAATATAGAGCAACCTGTGGACAGAATCTACTTAGTTCTGGACTTCAGTTGAGACTAAACACAAAGCTGAACTTCTAAATCAACTACCACTTGAAATTTACATTTCGCTAAGACTGAATGAACATTATCAGATCAAACAATCAAATCAAAAGGTCAGGCAAATTTCAGGGTAATTTAAACTAATGAGTTTATTTTTCTACAACTTTAGTACGACAGAGTGACAGCTCATCCTGAACAACTGAAGACACCCTGGCAGGCTACAGAATTCTAAACCAAACGGGAAAAGAAAAGGAAATAAAATTCAACAGCAACAAAACTGCTATCAAAGGAAAAGAGAAGTTCATTGGCCCCAAACATATCTAGTCTGGTTATTAGTTTGGACCACCAAAGGTCTACATTCAGCTTTTCCCGAATCACCGCACCAAAGGCCAGCTGAATGCTTTCAATGAAATGTGTTAAACTGAGCCTTCGCGCTATGTGGTATAAATGTCTTGCACAACTCCTTTGCAAGCACCTAAGATGAATTAAATCCATAGTGAAAAACAGATCTCATGGGTGTGCACCTGTACCTTTTCCTTTGATGGATCCCACGGCACCTTGCCTGGGAGTCTTCCTTGCCTACTGTGTGGAGAGGCACAAATTCAGAAACTTGAGCCTCACACTTGGATGGATGTAGGATGTTACCACTCCTCCCAGATGCTGCTTAGCAAGGCTGGGTTTCTCTGGTCATTGAGCCAGCTCTGTTCACAACCAGACACCAGCAATGCTATCATTCACTAGAGAGAAGTTAGGACAGAATGCTAAAATCTGGGATTATATTTTTGTTGCTGGTTGACTGGTTTTTTGTTTCTACAATTAGGAAGAGTAAACTGAATGTCCGAGTTTAAAGAGTGTCTTATTTCAATTTTCTTTCTTTCTTTTGGATACTACAGATGAGGCTAAAGGTGTTATGCATGCTAGGCCAGTGCTCTACCTCCAAGCCACACCTTCCTCCTCCAATTTTCAATAAGAAATATCACTAGAGCTAAAATCTCATCTGAATTTTGATATCATGGGGTGTAACTTTTTACCTGGGATTGCTCATTGTCTGTTTGTAGTAATGTAAAATTTTCAAAATCAAAAATTGTTTTTTTCAAATGACAAATGTTTTTTCTATGACAAATAAATGCTCAGTGGTGTCCATATAAACCTGTTTTCTCTTTTATGAAAAAGATGTGTACATGGTGCACAGATGCATAAATCTTAAACTGTGCAGGAGTCCGGGGGGAGCAACTGGTCTACCTGGACTCTTGAAAGATGTAGCTGCCCCCAGATAATTATTAAATAATTCCCAGAAATCCAGAAATAAAAGAGAGGCTGGGAAATATCTGGAGACGACCTGTAATACACACATGTGAATGGGTAACATCCCAACTGGAGAGAGATTCTCCCTCCAGGGAAGAGGTGCCAGCTGGGCAGTATTTAAAAGCCACGAGACACAAAGAACTTCAAAGAGCGACTGTTAGTGTCAGTCCTTCTGAAACATAAGGAGACAGGTGAGTGGAGCCCTGGGTTGGAGTCTCTGGTTCTGCGCCCCGTGACCTTAGGGCTGGAAGCAGCACTCGGGTCCCTGGGCTGGGCTGCCGCACGCGCGCTTCCGCTTCCTCGGGCGCTAGCTCAGGGTTACACCCTTTTTCCCAGTCTTCTCTCAGTGGAACTCTGACAGAGCCGGAAGATGGTGTGCAGGGCAGTGAGGATGTAGCCAGATACTCACGTGAGCCGTGATGAGCTTCCTCTGCCTCTGAGGGTCCGGGAACTCCTCCCCGAAGCACAGAGTCACCTGGAAGCGCGGCAGGGGCCGGCCGTGGTGAGCGAAGGCCTGCAGCTCTGAGAAACAGACAAGGCCACACCATGTCAGAAAGCCGCGCCGCCCAGGGGACCCAGAAGCAAGAGCACTGTGCTCCCTCCGGGCAGAGAAAGGGGCCGGCTCCTCTCCTGAAGTAGGGCCGGCCGTCGTGTGCAGCCCTCAGATACCACATCTCACACTCGCACATGCGCGCGCGCGCACACCAGGGGCAGGGGGCACTGCCCAAGCTGAAGCACTGCTCTGCAGCGCCGGCCCACTGGCAGGCCGTAGGTCACAGAAAGGAGGGAAGCAATGGCGTTGCCTGGAGGCAAAAACCATAACGTCCGCAAAGGAGATATTTTCATTAAGAAAATCAGAATGTTCCCACATCCCAGGACCATTTTAAAACTTCAAGACCCAGCTGTGGAGGCCACACAATCCAGTGTCTATGTTACTGAGGACACGTAGATGGCTCAGGGACACCTAGGTGGCTGGGGGCCCAGCTATCAGCAGCTACATCCCACTTGGCTCTAGGTCTAAACCCCAGAGGGTGGGTCTTTGAGCAGACTTTCTCGCCTTGCTTTGGAGACAGAACAATGACTTGGTTGTGGACTGACGAAGCCCCAGGGTCCCCTATGCCAGGCCACTGCTCCTGCCTGAAAGGTGCAGAGCAGAGGGGAACACTGTTGGAAAGACTCATGTCCGGGCTGGGGATGTAACTCGAGGAAAACAAGTAATAAAGATGTGAGTCCTAACTCCTGTCCCCCTGGCAGACTCCAGGGGGTTCTCAGAACCCGAGCTCACATCCAGAGTCCCTTCTGCAGAAGGTGCAAGTCTAAAGGAGCCTGTGCACTCCCGCAGAGCAGCTGTGCCACCACATCCTTAGCAGATATGCCTCTGGGGACCGTCCCTAGCAGGGTGAAAATCCTGAATGGGTAAGACAGCAAAGATTTCCACTGCTCTGTGCAGCAGAAGTTTCTAGCTAACTCATAGGACTACTTGACTTCCTGCACTTTTTTTCCTTCCTGAATTCAAATCAAACCTCAGCAATGCAGTAGGATGTGTGGAGCACACTCCCAGAGCTGGGGCCCAGCAGTGGAAAGCGGGCACAGGCTCTGGAGAAGCTATGTCTCATACACTTGCCAACGTGAAGACGACGGGGGGACCTGTCCCTATGCACAGCTGGAGCTTTGAAGTCCCAGCATCCTCCTTGAGCCTCCGTAAACCTCAGAAGTAGTGCCGCAGAGCACAGGCCCCAGCCACAGAGAAGGCGAGAGAAATGAGGGAGAAGAGCCCTTGCTCACTGACGAATCCGCAGTGCAAGGCCAATGAGATTGCGTGCCCTGGCGCCTGTCTCCTCCTGCACCTGCTTCTGGGCCACGTCCACCCCTCACCTGAGTGCACCCTGCAGCTCTATCTGTCACAGCGGGGCTCCTGACTCCCTGTAGCATGCACGGCAAGAGAAACGTGCAGAAGCCAGTGCCAGTTCTCTGGCTTGCCTTAATCTGAGCCCTGAATCTACAGAAAGCAAGATCTACAATCCCCGGCGAAACGCCAGCCTGGGGAGCTCCCTCTCCCAGGACTGCAAGCACTCTCAGACCCTGTGGTGGGCAGCAGGGCCGCCCTCAGGGCTCTCCACTCCTCTCTGCTCCTTACCGCCAGCACCACGCCAGGCCCCAGTGCGGATGGCTAGTGCAGCAGTGGCTCAGGGACAGTCCTGTGGCCTCCGCTGAGGGGCGTCTGCCCCAGATCCTCTTCACCACACAGTCACCTTGGGCAACCTCTTCCTGCATCCCACCTCTGGGGAAAGGGTTTTATCTGGGGAATATTTGTTTTGGGCACCAAAGGAGAATTTGGATGAACTTGTGCAAACTTGGGCTGCTTAAGGCAAAACGGCAATCAAATGCTGGCAGTGCCAGCAGTGTGTGCTTCCTATTTTCACTTTAAATGAGTTACAACATGAAGCACGTTCAGGATCCAGCAAATCCACTTCTGGGTATGTACCCAACAGAAATGAAACCAGTGTATCTGCACTATTCACAGTCATCAAGATCGCGAATTAACCTAACTATTCACCAACTGATGAATAGATAAAGAAAATGTGGTGTACACACAACAGAACACTACTTTGCCATGAGGAAGGAAATCTTGTCATTTGCAACAACACAGATAAGCCTGGAGGACATTATTTTCAGTGAAAGATGCCAGGAAACAAAAGACATACCCCGAATGACCTCAGTTTTCTGGGGTGTCTTAATTAGAAAGCCTTCACCCCTCGGTATCTGAATACAAAGGTCCGAATTCACAAAGCAGAGTAGACTGGTGGTCACCAGGGGGTGGGACAAGGGGCTGGGGAGAAGGAGGTCAAAGGGTACAGACTCTGAGTTAGGAGGGATAAATTCCATAGGCCCTACTCTACAGTGCCAAGGTCATAGTTATTAATTAGAGTTGAACTTGCCGCTTCTATGAGTTCAGCTCTTTTGGGGGGGACGGTGTACTCTACACTTGAGAACTGCTAGGAGAGTAGTTTGCAGTGGCCTCTCCACAGAAAATTCCAGCTATGTGTGTAATGCACACTAGTGAGCTCGGTTCATCCATTCCACGATGTGTGTGAAGTGCTAAACAACACACGGTCCCCGTGTTCAGGAAAGCGAGTTACATGAAAACCTGAGATACAAGGTGCTCTGCATGGGCACCCGTGAGAGAGAAGGAAAGGATAAGGAAGAGCCAGCAGGGTGGCAGCCTTCTCCTTGGGGAGCTGGGCGACACTGCTGAAGAAGCCCCACCGTGGCAGTCAGTGATTTCATGAACACCAGCCCAGGCCTAACTGAACTGTCTTGAAATCAAAACCAGAGCGACACAGTGCACTGATTCTGGAAAACATGATGCACAGCATTCGCAAGACAGAGGCAAGGCGAAGCCTCCTCCTTGTTCCCCTTTGCTACATGGATTCGGGGCACCGCTCTCCTCGGTCCCACCTGCACGGCGGCATCTGCACGAGGTGATGGGACTCACAACCGAGAATGTTAGATGTACCTAAAACCTCCACGATTTTTCCAGGAACCAGAAAAGAGCTGAAGTCTCGGTAGATAAGCTTGATGAGACCTTTGCCAATGAAACAGAGCTATGTCAACAGGTGGCCTCTGAAAACCAGAGAGCTGAGCGCTAAGCCGGAACCCTGTCCGCCTGGGTCATCTCATCTGGACACCGGGCCTCGGGACCAGAGGGGATGAGGACAGAGGCAGAGGTGGACACGAGCTGGGCGGGATGGCACTTCTGGGTGAGGCTCAGGGCCTCCACCTGGGGCAGGAGGGGACCTGTGACCACTCTGTCACCACCTCCCCCACAGACGGTGAGCTGGTACCTGACAGAAACTGCTGCGTGTCGAAGAGCTTGCAGGTCTGGTCTCTCTCCAGCTTGTTGGGCCGGTCGCTGCACAGCGCCAAGGGCCCGTCCCAGTAGATCCTGCTCTGGCACAGTCTCTTGGCATAGAGCCCATCCGGGGCCATCCACAGGACCACACCCCTCTCCAGGTGGCTCAGCAGCTTCTCTATGTTCTTTCTCTGTCCGTTGTCCTCCGGGTAGGGGAACAGGACCGGGTCCAGGTTGCTGGCATCGTAGGTGTGTCCGTGGGAGATCCGGCAGCCTTCAGGGCTGGTCGTGGTCAGCTCCTTTACCAGGATCTCCCGGTAGTACAAGCAGATGTGCAGCCGGCAGTCTGCGAACACAGAGCTCTGCGGTCAGCGCTGATAGGCCCGGGTCGACCCCCAGAGCAAAGCTCAGGAGGTGGACACAGGCTTCCTGGGTCTCCCTGAGCACAGGCAGCCAACAGATGGGAGCCTGGAGACATCTGTGCTCTTGTCTTCTTCCGGACAGCCTCGGCCTGAGCACATCTGCCTAGAGAGGCTGTGGAAGGACACGCATCCAACCCAGCAGTCCCAACGCTTATGTGCTCATAGGTGCTTTCATTTGTTTGAAAATAAAGGAACGCATATATTTCATTAATTTTCTGCGAAATACGTTAAAGTCAAATTAGAGAGCACCTCTGTTAAAGAATCTAAGGAGTCACTCTGGGGTAATGATGCGGACAGTGGTGATATTTACATCTGAAGTAATTCGTCACTGAATGGAAACTCATCTTTAAGCAAATCTATTTTGAGTTTGGAGGAGGTGAGCCCTAAGTTTAACGTTACTAGCAAAAAGCATATAATGATGTTTCAGAAGAAAAGCAAGTACAGAATGACCACACACCTGGAACTTCCCTAAAGTATCAGTACAGCATCGGATAGATGATATAGATAGGGTGGATGACAGGTGGACAGATGATAGGTAATAGATAGACAGGCAAAACAGACAGCAGTCTAACCACTACTCCCTCAACTACAAATGGTGATTTCGGGATGCTGGAATATGATGTTTTTAGTTTTGCCCCTTTTGTCTTTCTGATTTTAAATTAGTTTTCTATAATGAGTAGTATGTGCTGCTTTTATCATAAATTCATTCTGGGGGAAGAAAAGAAGTTAAGGCTGGGGGTAACTCGTGGTGCAGTGTTTGCTTAGCCTCTGTGAGGCCCCGGATTCCAAACCTAGCACCAAAAGCAGCGCGCGCGTGCGTGTGTGTGTGTGTGTGTGTGTGTGTGTGTGTGTGTGAAGTGCTGTACAAGCCTCCATCAGTGTCAAACCTGCTGAAATCTCACTCAGGTTTGTGTTTAAGTTTGAATAGCTCTAAAACTGGGCTTTCTAAAAAAATCTTTAGAAGATGAATTTATTTATAAGTTTTACTGATTTCAGAAACCTCTTTAAAGTCTCACCCACAAACTGAAGGACCAAGCTATTCTGGCGGAGGGCTCCTTACTGAAATGTAACTCGAGGCCCAGCGTCTTGGGTGGAATGTAACATGGCAGGGAATCACAGCTCTGATAAATGCATCCAAGATTGATAATTAAACTGCATTATGCATAGCAAAAAAGAAACCCACAAAACCCTCTTATTCCTCAGGGCAGGTTTTGAGATTTAACCCACACGGCCATCGCTTCCATTTCTGCCACTGTGAACACCGAGTCAGATGCTCAGCCAATGTGAGTGGGGGTTGGCCATCGGAGGTGACTCTCAGGGCAGGTTTCATTTCATTTAATGTGTCAGAAATCACAAGGTTGCAGAGATATAAATAGCTGTTTATTTCCTATTCTTTAGGCACCCACACAAGTCTGAGATGCTCAAAAAAGGGTTTGAGAGTTTCTAAAAACAAACACAAGTCTTGCTGCTCAGAAGCAGCTCCCCACCCTACGGGATCCTCCGCTATTGGTGAGCGCTGTCCCAGGAGAAAGGCACAGGCCTCCTCAGAAATTTACAACCCGAAAGGACCTGGAAGGTGAAGCTGTCGCTCCCTGGTGGGCAGAAGGCCCAACTCTCATCTCCCTAAAACCTTCAGAATTTAGCTTATATTTTCTGTGAATGGTTTTTAAAGAGGTCAGAGCAGGGTGAGAATTCCAAAGCTTGAGCTATAGATTTTTACTATAAATTCAAATTCCACCAAAGAACAAATTAAACTATTATTTGTATATCACTTCTGTTCCCAATTTAGATAAGGAATATTCAATCTGTATCAGATTGGTTTTTTTTTCGGTACTGGGGATCCAACTTGGGACCCTGCACTTCCGAGGCAGGCACCAGAACCACTGAGCTAAATCCCCAGCCCTTGAAATATTCTTTAAAGCCAAAATTGTCTTGGAGGACATACACCTGCTAAGTCCTGAGGTGCCTTCCTCAACTCAGCACCCAAGGTGCAGGAATTCTTTCAGAAGTGGAAGGCGTGAGTCAGACTGAACCCCTAATTTGCAAGTCTGGTGGAAGAGCAGAGAGCGCAGTGTGCACTCCTCTGGGTGAGCGAGCCTCACACAGCTGGGCCACAAACAGCGCCCTCAGAAGTTGAGGGGAGTCTGGGGCTGGCCCTGGAAGGACGAACAGCCTTTCAAAGTGGAAGTTCTTACGCCTTCCTAGGAAACTGTTCTGCACTGTGAGACCGTTGGCCACAGGCACCGTGGTTGCAGGAGCCTGGGGTGTGGCATGCTCCAGAAGCTCAGGTGGGTGCCCAGGCAGAGCTTAGGCACCTCCGTCCAGCCCCCATGAGACCTGTTACAGACGCTAGCTGCTTCCTGCCAAGTTTCCTGCTGCTCCTTGCTCTCTGCGGTGACTACAAGCCTTTCCAGCCCACTCCAGAGCCTGGAGGGTGCAAAGCCGGTGTCTCTGTCCCCACCACTTCCCAAGGCCAGAGGAGCCAAAGCAGAGGCCACCTCCTGCAGGAGCTTCCACATCGAGCACTGCACTCACCTGAGAGCGCTAAGGCTTCTGCAGACCTTATGCTTGGCTCTATGGGGATTCCGGGAGCCGGGGACTCAGGTGGGGCACAAGCATAAAAGGTTCCTGTCACCTGGCAACCTGCATTTGCAAATAAAAGGCAGAGGGTGTCGGAAGAGGGTCTGAGTGTGCACTGAGCCTGGGAGGGGGAGGCCGGCCTTGGGCACCTTCCAGCCCAGCAGGCAGTGACCCTGATGCCTGCAGACGGCAGGGCACAGGCTCTTAGGGCAAAGACAACTGAAATCCAGTTGGAAAAACTAAGGCTGAAGGAGGAGGGAGCCACTGCACAGCACTGGAAGGAAACTCACAACCCTGTCCATAATTTATAAGCCGGGAAACTGAGGCTCAGAGAGAGACAAGGGGATCGGCTCCTGCTCACATGGCCAATTCATAGCAGGGCACTGAGCTCAGTTGGGATGATTTCTGACCGAAAGCCTGATCAAAAACCAAAGGAGTGTTAAGTCCATATCTGTTTTGCTCGGTACGTTTGGGTTCAGGAGAAAACGGACCTGGGTCTCAGACAGCACAGTAGCTATGTGTTGCCTTGAGCATAAATAGAGAAAGAACGTGCCCAGAACCCCACTGTGCTGACGCTGGCTTAGCATCTCCTGTGGTGGAGGTTGGACTCTCCATGCAATCTCATCGCACAACTCAAAGCACTGCCTTGAACTCCTGTGCTGTTTGCTCACTGCAGCCTGCACTCTGGGCACAGGCCTGAGTCCCAGAAACTAGTGTCATTTCAAATCACCCTTGAAAAGCCCATAAAACTCAATTCTAAGCTTCTCTACTTAACATGCCACTCAATACAAATACTGAATGAAGATAAAAACCCTTCAACACCAGAAGGCAAGAATGCCTTGAACAGGACAAGGAAGGGGAAAGGATTGCCTTACGGGCAGCGACATTCCCAGAGGCATTAGAGGTCAGCGTGCTGACCCCTCAGGACCTCCACCGAAGCAGCTGACTCCAAAGTCCTCAGGCCTTCGCTCACTGCACTGAACTCACTGGTAAAGTTTTCTTGGCACTTAGCTACCTAAGATCTGCCGTGCAGCCTCATTTGATGTCCTGGGCCCTGTGGGCCGCAGACCACATCTAATCCAAGATGAGCCGGTCTTTGGGACCCAGTACTAGCCAGGCTCCAGCGAAAACATTGTCTTTCTTTTTCTTGACGTTTGTCCACTCCCTTCCTATCATCTCCTTCAATGCCAAGAACACCTCTGTCCCAGGGACGGACACTCGCTCAGTAGTCTCGGGGTGTCCCTGCCCAGGGAGGCACGGGCACAGCTGGCATTTGCCCCTTGTGGACAGATGGCCAGAAACAGACTGCTGAGCTTGGGGCCCTCAGTCAGCAGTAAGGGAAAATCCAGGAGGGAAGGCTGCCAACATCCAGCCCATTTTGCTTACGGTTACAAAAAAGATTGGAGACAAGATGAAAAATGTTAACACATTCAGCAATGTATCGACAAACATTTGAAGCTGCGGTCTTGTCTTACATGGAAGGCTGGGTTTGGGATTAGGAGATCCGGAATGCAGCCCAGGCCCTCACTTAGTGGGTGACTTGGGCTTGTTACTTCCATGCGGGGAGGTTCCTTGAACTCTTCTATTTGTTTTTTTAAGGGCGATTTTAGCTTTCTGGGATGCTGTATGGGATGTGTAATTAAGGACCCACACAGGGTCTTTCTAGGAGCCCCCAAGAAGGAGGAAGCCCTGGCACCCCCGGGAACGCCCAGAGCCCACATCCCCATCCGCTCTGTCTCGGGCCCAGCATGCTCCTTACCGTTTTCACAAGCTGGACCTTGCCAGTGGTGGTTTCGGGGACCAAAAGGCATGGGGCACTGATACGGGATTTCTGGGTGTGGCTGGTCAGGGACGTAATCCCTCCAGCTGCGGTCGTGGGGCGGCATCATGTAGTTATGGACCTGCTAAAGCAACGCAGGGAAGCTGAGATGAAAAGTGTCGACCTGGGAAGTGAGGTGCTTTCACATCTTCCCAGCCCCTCAGGGAACCCCTTCTTGGGCCAGCAGCCGAAGCCATTTATCATCTAAAAAGACGCGAGTGGACCGCTCATCAGACCAAGTGGACGGAGCCACAGAGGATCTGAGAGCACAATGGGGCACTGTTGGGAAGTGCCGACTGCTGTAAAGCATCATCATATGGCTGCGTTTGGCACCAAAAATACTGTAGGGAAATCTGCCTTCTCTTCCCCACCCAAGTGGACACAGGGAGCTGCAATCACATTGGGCAGCCTGCAGTGATCAGCTGCCCTGTGGTTTCACATGACAAAGCTCTGCTTCCAAACCCTTCAGAGGTCTGATTCCCAGAGGACTGGGGAACCAGGCAGAACACACCCAGTCTCCCCACTCAGCCACCAGGGACAGCGATCAGACATTCACTCAGTGACCAGGTGTGTGCTGAGGCCTCCGAGGGCCCAGCTCGGAGACCCGGCCCGGCCCCAGCACCCTGCACTGTCCTCCGAACCTGGGCTGGGAGGGAGGTGTAGGGTGTCGTCATGGAGTAGGCGTGGCTGATGGTCATCTGAGGGTCCTCCAGCGCGAGCTGCTTGGCGCCTGTGTGTTTGGGGAAGAGGGAAACGGCACAGAGTGAAAAAAAGGAACTGACTTCATGTCAAATCTTGGAAAAATACCTGAGGGTTTGATTCTTAGAATGCATAGCATGATGTTGACAAATAAGGCATTTTCTAGCAACTCCCTTGGGCAGTTATTCGTCCACACCATTAAAGTGATGTTGACAGGGTCTGCCTTGTGCACGACACTTAAGAAATTAATAAAACACAATGTGTGAATGTGCTTTTCGTCTGCCAAAAGCCAGGGCCAGCCAGACGCTGCAGGATTTATTTAAAATGAAGATCCCGGGCCCTGCTTGGGACACACTGACCCTCGTCTTGGACAGAGAGGACCAAGGGTCTCAGCTGTAGTAAGCACCCCAGCCTGCTCTTAAAAGCCGCATTTTTATTACTATAAATAGTAACTCTTTGTGGGTGTACAGTATGCTTCCCCTTGTAGAAAACATCACTAACAGCTATTAGACAACAAGCATTAATGAGTCTTGCAGGCTTTCTTTTTCCATACTGTAACTGGAAACAGTGCGCGCACGCGCACACACACACACACACACTCACACTCACAGAGGCAGACTCCGCAAAATGATCCCACACCAATATTGCAGTATTTTCAACTTAAACATCACAGAATTTGGGCAAGGGACCCGCTGGGCTATCAAAAGCAAAACTAGCAAGTGACACTCAGAAGGAAAGGAGGGCAGTGTAAGCGCCAATGGCAGCCACCCGGGTTTCGGGAAGCCCTGACCTTTCTTGGCCCCCTCTGGGACGATCCTGTACACTTTGTATGGGTCTGAGATGTCCAGCTGGCTCCTCTCCACCAGCTCCTCAAAGTCGTTGCTCTTGTTCAAAGCACACCGCAAGCGAGTCTTCCAGGTAGGAGGGTCTGGCTTATCGATGCCTTCTCGGAATTTTCCTTTAAATAGTGCCCAAGCCTGGGAGGAAAGAGTGGAGAAGGGAAAGTCAAAACACGGGTCTTCTGGGCTGGGGATTTAGCTCAGTGGTTTCGCTGCCTGCTGCGCAAGCGCAAGGACCCAAGTTCGATCCCCAGTACCAAAAAAAAAACCCAACCAAACAAACAAAAAAAACCATGGGTCTTTTTAAAGACAATCTGGGAACGGCACTTCTCCAAGGAAGAATGATGCTTCCTGCTTATGCGTTGGCTCAAAATGTGTCACAGACAGGCAGCAGGTGTCCCCTAGGCAAAATAACTCTGGGACTTCTGGTTGCCCGGTGGAGAGATGGCCTTTTTCTGGGTATTTATGAAGAGGGGCGGGCGTGGAGGCCCCTGGAACGGGCTCTACTCCCTGGCTGGGACCAGCGAGGGAGGGGAGGCCCCTGCAGAGTGAGTGTGGACGCGACCACACCGAGGGCAGCAAATCCCCGGGGAAGTCCCCATCCCCGCCTGCAGGTGGGGCCCCTGGGCTCCCGGGCAAACGGCTCTAAGGGCCCAGCCCGGGAGAGAGCACAGGAGGGGCGCTGAGACGGCCGGAGCGGGGCACTGGGAGGCGGAAAGTGAGAAACTGGTAGAAGGTGAGAGTGCTAGAGCCTGAGAGCAGAAAAGAACCAAAGAAAGATCCCGCGCGCGAGGAACTCTGAGGGGGAAACAGAGAAGCCGCGAGGGCAGATGTGTGATGCAGAGCTGAGAGGGATGCGGGCCGGGCCGGGTCCGGAGGGAAACAGAAACCCGCCCCGCCGGCCTCTGCCGCCTCCTCCGCCCCTGCAGGGCCCCGGACCGGACCGAGGAGGGACGAGGAGTCCCGGCGCCCGCGCCCGCCCGCCGCGCACCTTGAAGAGGGCGGCGTCCTCCTCGCGGTTGTAGTCCTGCTTGCCCGCGTGCTTCCACGGGATGCGGAAGATGCTCTTCTCCTCGTTCTCCCACACCAGCCCCGGGTACTTGCCGCTGTCGATCTGGTCGATCAGCCACTGGCGGAGCTTCCCGTTGCCGCAGCTCACCGCGCTCATGCCGAAGTCCGCGCCGCGCCCGCCGCCCTCCAGGTTCATCCCGGGCGCTGCGCCCGCCACCCTGCGGGACAAGGCTCGCGTGAGCGCCGCTCCGGGCGCCCGGCCTCTCCAGCCCGGGTCCGCGCCTCGCCGCCGCCAGCCGCAGCCCTGGGCCGCGCACGCAGCACCGGCACGTGGACTCGCCCACCGTCCCGGGCGCAGCACCCGGCCCCGCTTCCCTCCGCTGTCTTCTCCAGCGCCCTCGCTTCGTCCCCGGTCACCCGCACCTGCCCCAGCCAGCGAGGATTAAAAGGTCCTGGCAGCAACAAGTGGCGGGGACCGGGTTACGAACAGGTGGGAGCGCAGCTGCGCGCAGTGCAGATGGTCCCGGTCAGTGAGGAGGCTGAGGCGGGAGAGTGCGATGCCAGCTCCGGCCTGGACGGAGCCGGCCGCGGCCGCGCGCGGGGCTCTGAGCGCCCACATTCGAGACGCTGCTCGGGCGGTGCCGGCCCCGCGCGCCGGGGCGTCGGGCCCCTGTGGGATGCGGCCTGAGCGCAGGAGCCCGACCGGAGCCCACGGCGCCTCGGTCATCCCGGGCCGGGCCGGAACGGTCGGGTGCGCGCATGCGGGTCGGGTCGCGTGAGGCGGGGACCAGGGAGCCGGCGGGGTGCGCCCGGTGCCTCCCCGGGCCTCGCCAGGGATCTGGGCTACCCGACCCGGCGACCCCGACCCGCTCCCAGCGCTGCCCGCCCTGAGGCCGCCTGTGCCCCGCTCCCTGCCCGCTGCAGGCCTCACCTCGCCGGACTCGGCTCGCGCGCAGGGGGACCCGGCTTCAAGGGCAGAAGCGGGGAGGTGAGAAAGAGGAACTTTATAGCCGAGCTGCGGGGCGGGGCAGGGCGGCTCCGCCTGCCACGGGGCGGGGACCTCGGAGCCTCGGAGAGGGACCCGGGCCCCGCGGCCCCGCGACCCGGGCACCTACCCAGAGCGCACGCGCGGACCCCGGCCTGCGGGGCCGGGAACCCAGGACGGGCGGACCAAGCCGCCCCAGGGCCCAGGGCCGTCCGGCGGCGAGGAGCTGGACGGAGGGCACGCGAGCAGGGAGGGACCTGGCCCTCCTTGTGGACGAGCATCGCCACCGAAGAGAAAACGGGAAGTGATAAGCCGTGGTCCAAACTGCGGTCCAACACTGATGCGCGGGTGCGGGGGCCCAAGTTTCGGGAATGCCAATGGAAAGAGGAGGGGCGAAGTTAACCGCTCTGAATCGCAGTCACCTTACAGTGACATCGCTCTAACCTGTGTATGTGGAAAGCAGTTTCTTAGTGGGGTATAAATGGCCAACACAGAAGTAATAGTTAAGCGGATCCAGGATGTACTTAGTTTTCCAAACTGTCTTTAATTCCCCAAATTAACCCCGGAGCTTTCACCCCAAGGTTCTCCAGGTCGGCTGGGACCCCCCCCCCCGCACGCACTCGCACACATTTATTGACTTAGCATTTTCAGGTGAACTGTCGGAGCAGTTTCTATAGCTTTCTCATCACCGCCCGGGGGCAGCCTGCAACTTTTGAACAGGTCTTGATTTCCCTTGTTTCTCAGTGTTTCTTAATTAATCTCGTATATTGGATCGGGGTCCTCATTGGAGGAGTGAACTAAGTTCAGGCCAGAGTAAAACAGGCAGAGAGGTACAGATAGGTGTGCTTTCCCTAAAACCAACAGGCTTTCTCAGAAAGTAACAGGATGCTGTATTTTTCTTTCACCCGGGTGAGTAAGTTTTCCATGATCAGAGTCTCTGTAATAAACAACCGGGTTTCGTTCAAAGAAAATTCTGGTCACAGCTTGTTTTTTCCTTTCTTCTCTGTTCACAGATTGATTCAGCGCAGCGCGTTTTTCGAGGTGCTTCCTACCTGGGAGGAGCTGGAGCCCGTGGAGCCCCACGGGGACAGAGCAGAGGTTGCTTTACATTGCCTCCAAGCACCCGAGTCCCGGGCAACACTGCTGAGGACAGCGACAGGCAGAGCTCTGTGCACTTTCGCACACGTGTCCTCTGTCCTGGGTTTAGTCAGTTTCAAAATTTTGCTCACCCAGCTACATCCTTGTTTAGAAGTTCAAAACAATAGTCATTGCATGATTTTTTTTTTCTTTAAATTTACACAGCTACCTCGTTTGAAGAAGCGACTGCTAACCTTCAACGCCATCTTCTGGTCTACTTGTTTGTCATGCACATCCACTAGAAGCGCTGTTTTCTTAAGTATATGGTGAAATGAATGCAGAGAATGAACTGCTCAAGTCCCTGAAACTCTGTGTGCCGTATTTTGGCTTAGGGGATGACCAGGTAGGTGCTGCTGGTTGGTAACCAAAAAGCTTTTACATCCAGAGTCACAGCTGAAACCAACCAACAAAAACATGGCCGTTTAGGAACTTCCTCTTCCTCTCCCCCACTGAGACTTGAGGAAATCAGTCTCTAACAGACCAGACATTTATCTCCAAATATTACCACTAGTTGAAAAATGAAAATGGAAAATCAGTGAATTCAGGGTCTACCTCAAACCAAAGCCAGTCTTCAAACTCCATGAGAAGCTTTCAGTGAGTCATCCAGGTGAGGTGCTGTTGCCAGTATGGCTGATCTGAATGCAGAAGAGCTAAATGTTCCTAAATTCAGCATTTTAAAGATCAGTCTTTTACAATTATATATCTTGTAATCACATGCAAGAAAAATGTTTTATAAAACCCATATTAGAAACACAAAAATAAGTGCTGGCTGGGATGTAGCGCGGTGGAGTGTTTGCCTGGCAAATGCAAGGTCCTTAGGTCCCTCTAGCGTGGTGGGGGTGGGATCGAAACCTTGTTCTGGACGCTATTTCCTCACTGATTCATTCTTAAAAGGGAGCAGGACAGTGATGTGTTAAAGCCAATGTGATTTTATCTTTGAAAATTTTTAGAGTATCATTTTTAGCTGTAAAAATCCTGAAAGTGTTCTATTGTTTCGAGGAAGCTCATTTAGGATAAGTCTCTCCCTTGATGCTTGGGGCTGTTGAGTATGCAGTGCTGATGATGCCCTGACCATGGGGTTCTGCCTGGCAGAGGACGTTACTGGGGTTAGACCTCAGGCTGTGAGGCTCCACCACACCTGGTTAAGCCACGAGGTCTGGAGGAGCGGTTTGCTCCTGGTGGTGCTAATCTACAGTGCCGCCGCCTGGCGTATCCTAGGTGCTCTGCACGTCCGGCCTGGGCCATTTATACCCTACCTCGGTGCTTGGAGAAGTCCCTGGACTCCATTGTATTTGACACATCGTCAACCGCATCTCCCTGGTGGGCAGGGCAGCCAGGATGAGGAAAGATGTCAGAGAGGTCCTCGAGGCCCAAGAATACAGCTCTGCCGAGGGCCTCTCTCCGGGGCTTCCCTGGTGGGGCTGCCCTTCGCGTCAGTGCTTCCGGTCAGCCTCTGAGTGCAGGCCGGGGGTCGGGTGCATCCCACTCCAGGCCCAGCTCCCTGGCTAAGTCAGTGGGTGAAGAGCCCGGCCTGTGATGAGGAAGTTGGCAGCTTCTGGCCGCTGAACCCTCTCCTTGCCCTCAATAGTTTTCTTCTCTCTGGTCTTGCAACCATTCATGGCTTCCTGTTGGATGAATTTGGAGTCAGAAAAGCTGTATTATTTTTTAAGCCACTGATCTAACTGCTGGTCTGCACTTCATTCTCCTTCATGGAACTATATTCTCTTTGAGGAAATAGGAGGAAATGGACGCTGATTCTCAGCCATGCCTCTCAAACCTTTAATCCTCTGGAGAAAATAATCTAACCTTACAAGCTTGTACAAGATGGGAGCTGGCGTGGGCCATTCTTGAAATGAAATTGTGTATGAAATACTCTCAATGCACACATAATTAAGAGAATGGAGTTGAGGATTCTTTGTAAAATATTACGTTCTTCACTAGTACTATGATGCACAAACTGTATTTTTTTGTATAGAGCTATATACACTTTTTAATTTAATTTAGAAGATTCTCTGAGTTTCTTTGATGAAGGAATTTTCAGAGTGCCAGCATAAACTTTCCCAGAACACGGGCTGTGGGGAAGCCTCGTGTGAGCCCCTTTGGTGCCGGGGTTAATGTGCCCAGCTTTGGCTGGGCAGGGGCTAACCAGCTTCTTGCTTGTGGAAAGTGGGATTTGCCTCTTTAATTGATTATGGAATGAGAAGTCACAAGGTCAAAGACACTAGGGCAACACTGTCTCTTTTCCTTCTGTTTATAAACAACGGGCTGTTCCCTTCTTGTCTCCTGGTGGCCTGGTTTCCAAGAAGTTGCCTTCTAGCGCTGCCCTCTCTCCATGTCACTCGCTACGTAAGTGGTGACGTGGCCTGAAAGGAGCCTGGGATCCTGCCAGCTCCGGCTCCCAGCCAGCGAGTATGTGAATGGCCTGCAGTCACTGGCGGCTTTCTGAGCACTGGAGCAGTGGGTGAGAGGCAGAACTCGTCCGTGGCAGTGCACAGCACTGAGCCGGTGACACCTCCACTGCTCTCTCAGCCGCACACTGAGGCGGTGTAGTGTCATCTGCTGCACCAGGGTTACTCCTGCCGCTGCGGCACGTGGGTGGCAGAGTGTTTTTCAGGAAAGGATAGATCACGTGGTGCTAACAAGATGCTCCTGAGACCTCTGTGTGTGTGTGTGTGTGTGCGCGTGTGTGCATGTGCGCGCGCGTGCTACTTGCTTACATGAGATTTCCCTGAGATCTTGGCTGATGCAGAATGAACCTGGAACCCCCCTGGTCACTTGGCAGAAGGGGCCCATTGAGCACCGTGTGCTGTGCTTGGCAGGGAGTCGCCTCATCCTGACCCAGCCTCCTCTGCGGCCAGGCGAGGACCACGGTGGAAGATGATGCATCTGGAACAGCATGAGCATGGCGGGAACGACAGTAATGCCCAGGAGCCCTGGGCTGTCAGCTGGGGCCGGGTGCACAGGTTGACGGAAGAAGCCAGAGGGTGGATGAGCTGGGAGGGGAGGTCGAGGACTCTGTCTCTGAGCTTGGGGGACAGGATGAGCAAGCAGTTAGGAATAGTTTTTTGGGGGGAGGGCAGACAGGT